ACTTGTGACAAAGTACAAAGATAATTTTTTTATCTTCTAGGCTGAACATATACCTTCTCTTGAAGCAGTTTTTCCTGTAAATAGGGTACAATAAAAAGTAGGAGAGAAATGTGTTATAAAGGAAACAGTGTTAGGGACTTCCCTGGTGGCGCAGTGGTTAAGAATCCACCTGCCAATGCAGGGGACACGGTACGAGCCCTGGTCCGGGAAGATCCCACGTGCCGCGGAGCACCTTAGCTCGTGCGCCACAACTACTGAGCCTGCGCTCTAGAGCCCGCGAGCCACAACTACCGAAGCCTGAGCGCCTTGAGCCCGTGCTCCACAATGAGAAGCCCACGCACTGCAAAGAAGAGTAGCCCCCGCTCACCAAGACTAGAGAAAGCCTGTGCACAGCAACGAAGACCGCAATGCAGCCAAATGTAAATAAATAAATAAATTTATTAAATAAATAAAGGAAACAGTGTTAAACTTTGGCATCAAAGTTGCTTTTGAGTCTTGGCTTCCCCTCTTGTAAGCAATGTGATCTGAACAAGTTATTTAATGTCTCTGAACTTTTTTTCCTCTGTGATAGACTGCAAAAAATAGCCCCTGTTCTTTACCCCCTCTACATCCACCTCTTTTGTCATATAACTTTGTAGGGCCCTCCCACTCTGACTCTGGGCCTAACCGTGGGGCTTGCTTTGGCTAACAGGATAAGGTGGAAGTGATGATATGCCAGTCATGGGTCTAGGCCTCAAGAGCCCTGTGTATTTCCATTTGCTCTTCCTTGCACTTCTGCTGCTGCCCTGAGGACACAACTCAGGGTAGCCTGCTGGAGGATGAGAAACATGGGAAACTGAGTACAGGCACACAAGTTGCTCCATTCAAGGTTAGTCTAGGAATATTACTCGGTCATAAAAAAGAATGAACTAATGCCATCTGCAGCAACATGGATGGACCTAAAGATATCGTACTAAGTGAAGTAAGCCAAAGACAAATATATATGATATCACTTATATGTGGAATCTAATAAAAAATGATACAAATGAACATACTTACAAAACAGAAATAGACTCACAGAACACAAATTTATGGTTACCAAAGGGGAAGGGGTAGGGAGGGATAACTTAGGAGTTTGGGATTAAAATATATACACTACTATATATAAAATAGATAACCAACAAGGACTTACTGTATAGCACAGGGAACTATACTCAATATCTTATAATAACCTATAATGGAAAAGAATGTAGAAAAAAGTACATATATATATATATATATATATAAAACTGAATATACAATATATATAATATATATAATATATATTATATATATATATATTTATATATATATATATATATATATAACTGAAAAAAAAGAGTTAGCCTAGATCAGCCAATATCCAGGTAACCCCAAGACATGTGAACAATCCCAGCCAAGGTCGGCAAAACAGTCTAGCTCACCCTCAGCTGACCTAGACACATGAGGTTATAACACACACTTACTGTCATACACTACTGAGATTCTGTGGTTGCTTGTTATGCAGCATTATTATGGCAGTAGATAACTGACACACACACATATCTGATATATTAGAGGTTACAATGGTTAAATGAGAGACTATAGGTAGAGTGACCAGCACACCAAAGAAATATATAGCTATTTTGGGGATAGGTTTCTACTTTATAAAATACAATCACATTCTTGAAATTATACCCAGGTCACTAGCATAAGTTTTGGATGTTCCTAAACCATTTAGTCTCACATTTACAGACAGTCTGCTGTTTTACTCTCGCAACAGAAAGCCCACACGCAGCGACGAAGACCTAACGCAGCCAAAAATAAATAAATTTAAAACTCAATTAAAAAAAGAAAAGTCTAGGGATCAGCCCATAAATCTGGATTTTAAAAAGCTCCCCGGGTGATTTTTAAAGTGCAACAGTTTGAGAACCACCGATAGTCGACTTCATTCCTTTGACTGGTGAGAAATCTAAGGCAGAGGATTCTGCAATTGTTACATTTCAATCTCTTGCTACTTGCTTAGCTGAGCTCCCATCAGTATGTCCTCAAACCTGGTCCTTCTGTAAATATATCAGGACTCCTACTGGGGAAGAGTCAAGAATCCAAGCTGGCAGTGATATACGCTCTCTTCTTTCTCCTGCATCAACTTAAACGTTTTCGTGTGCGCTAAGAATCATCTTAACCATTTTCTGCAGTACGTCTTCCACAGTAAGGAATAGAGCAGGCTCCCAAAGAAAATCGGTCGCCCTAAATCGTCAGTATCTACTATTTCTTACGTCCGTCTTGCCCCTCCCGTTAAGTTGCTCTCCAGACTCCTAGGATCCAAATTAAAGACTCTGAGTTTGTGTAAACCAGAATTTCAGGGCATTGGTGCAAAACCACTAATTCATTTTTTTTTTTATTGTAAACCCCTTTCCGCTTGTCCCTGCGAAGTTGTCCCAAACTCAGTAGTCTACTCACAGCACAACTATTTGCTGAATGTTTACTCTGTTTCAGGAGCTGGAGGATCTGACCCACACTTAATATAATGCAAACCATACAAGCTGTATATATATATTTTTTTCTATATATAGAAATATATTTTTCTACCTGCAGTCTCTAAAAGTTAACACAATCTACAAAAGTCATTTAGCACCCTTAAAATACCATACCCTAGGGGGAAAACAATCCTGTTCTGAATGTGCTTTTGCTACATTGATTAATATTTAATGCTTTAGTTGGACCAATCGTTAATATAATCACTGATTAAAACAGAACCATTTTCTTTCATGAGAGTCCAGCAGAGTTGCCGGTTAACTCTCAAAAGCCATGTATAAAGGCCCTCTCCCCAACCTCCTTCCCACTATACAAGCTAGAAAGCCAGATACTACCTTTCCTGGCCTCCCTTGGCACTAAGGACTGTTATGTGGCCCAGCTTTGGCCAATGAAATACAAGGGAAATTCTGTTGGGGAATTTGGGGGAAAGCTATTTCTTCTCTGATAAGAGCAAGTTGCATGAGGGAAATTATTCTACCCCTTTCTACTCCGTTTTCTGCCTTTGAACATGGGATAAGGATGTAAATGTCTGGAGCTGTTAGAGCCATCTTGAAACCATGAGGGTAAGGCATTGACCCAGAACCCTGACACTGCTGGACCACTGAGCCAACTCCAGTGATCACCTGCTGTCAGCCTTCTCTAATTTGTTAAAGCCACTTTCAGTTGACTTTTCTGTTACTTGCAGCAAAAAAAAAAAAGTCACAATTAATACGTAGATGTTTTCCATATATGTCAAACTCTTATTTATTTACAACACAGTGCAGTCTGAGGATCCACACTCTGAGAATCACTGAATTCGAAGGATTATCTTCTAGGAGTGAAGAAAAAGCATGCCCCGGTGGTGATCAAGGAATGGTAAACCCTATCTAAACTGCCAGATTCATGTATTCATTCATTCATTCAGAACCCCCACACACACACCAATTTGATAGGCTCCAAGGATACACAGATATTACCCTGCCTTCCAAGAAATTTTATTATCTTGAGCAAAACTGGTGGGCAAACCAAGAGTCACAAGATACAGAGAAGAGTCACATTATCTGAAAGGTGGGAAACCTAACTCAGTTTGCGGGGCTCCCTGGGAAGAGCTTTGGGAAAAAAGGATCATGGCAGCTTCCACTTAACTCTAAAAAGTTACCCCTGTGAGCTGACTAAACGTCTCAGGTTTTATTGATTTTCTTCCGGGGGGGGAGGGGGGGTGAAGGTTCATTTCTATAATCACAGATTATAAACCAAATGCTGATTCAGGAAAGAGCAAATTTATGAGAGGCCACCCGATCAACTGCCAGAAAAGCTGCTCCCGCCATCTTTCTCTCTCCCCCAAAGCTAGAGAAAGACTTGGTCTGGTGGGGGGGCGAGGGGGCATATTACTTTCCTCCCATATCAGCAGGGTTGCTCATCTAGAAGAATTGTGCCGTGAATTAAGACCACCTGTTAACACTGCAGCCAACCAAACAGACGAAAAAGCAATCAGCCGTCAACATGAGCCACAAATGCACGCGTTCTAGGTTTTTCCTCTGCTACTTTTAAGCAATAAAGGACAGCAACAATTGGTACCTATTTAATAGTCACAGAAACACTTGCGCTTAATGGTAGAGAAAGGGGAAAGCACCCTCCCCGCTGTGACTTTTTCTAAAGGCAATTAATGGAAGCATTCCCCCTCCCACGCCCCCGCCACCCCCAGCCACACGCACTGGCAGAGGAAAAGGAAAACTAACATGTAGCTTTGCATTCTTATAAATCCTTATAAAGAAAGAGTGCTCATTGATTTTCTTGCAAAGGAAATAATAGGTTTCGAAGCATCTCAGAAAATAAGACCGGCGGTAACCTCCTAAAATTCTCCTGGAATACAATACATTCAAAATAAAATATTCACGAGAGTCCTTCAGTGAATTGTTTCAACATGATAGTGGCATTCACATTAATTGTGCCTCCGGAACACTGTGATTTGGTCAATGGTGCCGAGATTGACATGCAGCAACTGCGGTTACCTTACAGCTCTGGCACGTCCTGGGCTGGGGAGGCTTGTTCCAAGATCCCAACTCAGGCTACAGTAAAACATCTGCCACCTCGCCGAGAATGAGGAAACCGCCCTGGCAAGGGATTCCAGCTCACCCTTCCAGCTTTCTTGCCACCTCCGCCCCCCAAACGCCACCTCTGAGAACCACCCAGGAAGAAAGTGGGGGAGGAGGGAGACACAAGAAACAAATAGAACATTCCTAGCCCCATAAACGCCGCATCCGGACGTTTGAAGATACCCGGGAAATTAAGAATATGGCCCCAGAGTTTGGCTTGTTTGGGGTCTGGGCATGGATTTGATCTTCTCTGCTGCGTTTTAAAAATCGAACTTTCAGTCTCCAACGGAGAGAACCAGAGGGTGGAAGCAAAGGCAGACCGAGACACAGACTGGGAGACACCCCCCCCTCCCCCCGAGTCACCCAAGCATCCAAAGACGAGAAACTTACCTGACCGTCACCTAGACGGAAAGGCGGCTGGTCCAGCCTCAGTAGGGGGCCGGGATTCAGAGGTAAGTCGCTGAAGCTGGAGATGAAAGCAGACCCCAGGCGGGAGGCGAAGTCCCGCTCCGAACCCGGGTGAGCCGAGTGACTCACGCGCTCGGCGCCCGCCTCGTGCGCCGCGCGCCCCTTGCGCCGCCCGCCCCCGGCAGGTACCTGGTCGGAGCGCTGGGAGGCGTCTCCAGCCGCCCTTAAGCACAGCGCCCTCTGCCCGACGCCCCTAGGCGGCAGCGCCAGAGCCCACCCAGCGGGAGCCGCTCCAGGCACAGCCCATCCCTCGAGACGACCGCTGCAGGACGAGCGCCTCCGTCGTGGGTCTCCCCTCTCCGCCGCCACCCCGGGACCCGCAGCCCCTGGGCTGCCCATCTGAGCTCAACACACCGTCCGTGTGCCATCTGGACACGGCATTGCCAAGGCCCTCCCCCAGGCGGTGCCGGCCGGCTCCAGGGACGCACCACCAGCCCGGCACGGCCCCCGTACCCTGCCACCCTCGGTGTCCCCACTGTGGTGGCGCCAGAACCCACCCAGCCCAGAAACAAGCACAGCTGGCGCCTCAAGATCCCAGGTGTATCCTTTCCTTTAGGCATCCCCTCTCCACGGACCCTTATCTTGCCCCCACGGCTGCCCATCCCACACACTTTCCACCTGCCAGCTGGATTTGGCAATGCCCAGACCCTCTCACAGTTGGTGTCTATGACTGCGGACCCCCTACTGCCCACCACAGCCAATGCACAAATGACTCCCATATGCTTGGAGTCCCCTGCCTTGCAGACGTGGCTATGAACCTCTACCCTCTCGGATCCTCCAGGGTCCTGGAAGAGCGCAGCGGGGATGATGGGACCCTGGTGCAAGGGGGCACCCTCCTATTCTGACTTGGGGTGGGAAGAGCAGCTTAGGCCCTACCCAAGCTTTGTTGGGACAGTCAAGGCGCCATATAGTGCCAGGACTTATAGAAGTAATATTTCCGGCAAATATGGATTGGAAATTCTGCCTTGGGGCCTGGCATTTTTCTGGTAGAGGTAATTTTGCTCTGCTGGGTGGAGGGGGGTGATGAGACCACAGTCCTGCCTCCATCATATCAAAACTGGGAGGAAGAGCATGTAGAATAAGAATCCCATTAGTATTGGCAAGTGTGAGGGATTATAGAATTGAGAGAGAAAGAGACAAGAATGGGGAGAGAGTGGCACATTTTCCCAACTTAAGGACAACATTTCAGCTGCCATGCTTCCTACAACTCTGGTCAAGAATGGAAGGTTGCTGCCCATTCAGAAAAGTGGGTAATCTCCCCCAACACACAACCCTTCGCATCATCCCACTGCTGTTTTTTTTTTTAACCACCATTATAAACCTACATCTCCCCCACAATGGGCAGAGACTATGACATTCATTTCAATGTTCCAATAACCCAGCACACAGCCTGACACTCAGTGGAAAACAAATTTTTATTGAAAGCTCAAAGGTCTAACATTCAGGACCTTCCCACCCCTGCCTTCCACCAACACCTCTATACTTTTCCTCTTTTCCCAATTATTTCCTTTTACGTTTCTTCCTTATCTATACCTACTTTCCTGAATAATATCATCCCTCAGCTTCTCTATCGCTATTCTCTAAGTTTATAAGGTGCTGTTTCTTTTCTAACTTTTTCTCTTCTTCCAAAGTGTCCCCTACTCTGCATTCTCCCTTGCTATCTTATTTTCAAGGTTCATCTCAATGAATTGCTTTTTTGTTTTAAGATATTAGGTACTTGGATCAAAACTCTTACCTATCATAAATCCTATATTCCCCTAGAATGTGTGTGTGTGTGTGTGTGTGTGTGTGTGTGTGTGTGTGTGTGTATCTAAGACAATGTCTCTTTTCATGCAAGATGATCAACCATAAGCATTACTAGAATCATAACGTCATCCATTCAATTCAACTCACAGCTACTATGCACCTACCATGTACTAGACATTGTGTTAGGTCCTGGGCTTACAGAGATGAATAAGGCAAAGTCACTAATGTCAAGAATGCGATGCACTATACACCAAAGGGTGGGGGAAGGGAGAGCAGACAATAAACTCCCGCAGCAATGCTATAAGAGGGATGTGTACAAAGTGGTGTGGGCGTGAGAAGGGAGCTCACAGCCCTCCATGGAGGAGGTGCGGTGGACATGAAACATTTCACCAGAAGATAATTGAACTGAGCCTTGAAGAAAGACTAGGAGTTTTCCAAGAAAATAATGATGGGAGAAATACACAGAAGTTGAATAATTTACTTTGAATGCTTAATTTGTGCCTCCTTTCTCTTGTGATGGCAGCTTCTTCAGGCAGATAATGTCCAAGACAGCTCCAGAGACGAAAGAGTTCTCCTTCCTAATAGCTCCAGCAAAGCTCCAGGGATTGGCTCTGCTTGGGTCATGTGTCAATTCCTGAACCAATCACCATGGGCCAGGTAGGTAGTGTATTCTGATTGGCTACCCTGGGTCATGTGCCCATTCCTGTCAGTCTGTTTTGGAGGGGAACGTGATGGATAGATTGATAGCCTTACCTGACGAGGAATGTACAGTTCCTAAAGAAAAAGATGCTAGGAAAGATGTGGACAAAAATAACATGTCCTCTACATGTATACAATCATTACCCTGAAAAATCTCTCATTTTGCAAAATAACACACTAAATTTAACAAGGCTTCTAGAAAAAAGAAATAGAGTTAGGGGCAGATCACTCAAAACTTATGCAACTTTATTAGCAGAGCATTAATAAAATAAAAAAATGAATATCTCAGACACACAGCTTGGTATGGCCAGAGGCTGCCTCAGGGGATATTAAAAGTGCAAGAAACCAAAAGAGAGGAAATTCTGACTTGATAGAGCTGAGACAGTGTACACGGAAGTGGAGCTCGAAGACATGAGGCTACCATTAGGCTAAGCACAGGAGGAAGTGCAATCTACCTGGAGCAAGAACCATGCAAGGCTTCCTTAGGGAGGAAGCCCTTGGTGCAGACTGTCACTTTTCATTTTCTTAAAATAAAGCTAAGAAGGCTTTCGACTGTGCAGCAGCCAAGTTAAGTCCTTTTTCCTTTCATGCTGAAGGCTATAGTTATACACCAACACAATTTCCACATTAGACAGACATTGTTTCCCTATTTACAATTGCATATAAACAATTATTACAGAAAATGTGTTCTACCAGAAGAGATAGTGTATATTTATTTATTACCTATCAAATATTTATCAAGCACCTGTGATCCAATCCAGTCTTGTGTTTTAAAATTCCAATTATTTGCTAATGACTCCCATATTTCTATCACTGGTCCAGACATTTCCTCTGAATTCCAGACACTTAGCCAGCAACCTGCTTAACATCCTCACTTGGATGACGAATAGGAATCTGGAACTTACCTTGTACAAAATCCAACTCTTGGTATTTCCAACCAGATCTTCTCCTGTTCAGGTCTTCCTCATACTGTCAAATGGTAACTCCATCCTTATTGATGCCCAAGCTAAAAATCCTTAGATCATTTTTCTTCCTCTGCAATCAAAGAAAATTGTTTTTTTTTTATTTTTCTAAATTTTATTGGAGTATAGTTGATTTACAATGTTGTGTTAGTTTCAGGTGTACAGCAAAGTGAATCAGTGATATATATATATATATATATATATATATATATATATGTCTCCATTCTTTTTCAGATTCTTTTTTAATTTTAAAGAACAGTAGGTCTTTTATTTTTTTTAACATCTGTATTGGATTATAATTGCTTTACAGTGGTGTGTTAGTTTCTGCTTTATAACGAAGTGCATCAGCTATACATATACATATATCATCCCCATATCTCCTCCCTCTTGCGTCTCACTCCCACCCTCCCTATCCCACCCCTCTAGGTGGTCACAAAGCACCAAGCTGATCTCCCTGTGCTATGTGGCTGCTTCCCACTAGCTATCTGTTTTACATTTGGTAGTATATATATATATCCATGCCACTCTCTTACTTCGTCCCAGCTTGCCCTTCCCCCTCCCTGTGTCCTCACGTCCATTCTCTACGTCTGCATCTTTATTACTGTCCTGCCCCTAGGTTCTTCGGAACCATTTTTTTTTTTTTAGATTCCATATATATGTGTTAGCATACGGTATTTGTTTTTCTCTTTCTGACTTACTTCACTCTGTATGACAGACTCTAGGTCCATCCACCTCACTACAAATAACTCAATTTTGTTTCCTTTTATGGCTGAGTAATATTCCATTGTATATATGTGCCACATCTTCTTTATCCAGTCATCTGTCGATGGACACTTAGGTTGCTTCCATGTCCTGGCTGTTGTAAATAGAGCTGCAGTGAATATTGTGGTACATGTCTCTTTTTGAATTATGGTTTTCTCAGGGTATATGCCCAGTAGTGGGATTGTGGGGTCATATGGTAGTTCTATTTTTAGTTTTTTAAGGAACCTCCATACTGTTCTCCACAGTGGCTGTATCAATTTACATTCCCACCAACAGTGCAAGAGGGTTCCCTTTTCTCCACACCCTCTCCAGCATTTAGTTTTTCAGATTCTTTTCCCATATAGGTTGTTAGAGAATATTGAGTACCGTTCCCTGTGCTATATAGTAGGTCCTTATTAGCTACCTATTTTATGTATAGTAGTGGGTATATGTTAATCCCATTCTCCTAATTTATCCCTTCCCCTCCCTTTTCCCCTTTGGTAACCATAAGTTTGATTTCGAGATCTGTGAGTCCGCTTCTGTTTTGTAAATAAGCTCACCTGTATCATTTTTTAGTAGATCCCACATATAAGTGATGTCATATGACATTTGTCTTTCTCTGTCTGACTTCACTCAGTGTGACAATCTCTAGGTCCATCCATGTTGCTGCAAATGGCATTATTTCATTCTTTTTTATGGTTGTGTAATATTCCATTGTGTGTATATATACCACATCTTCTTTATCCATTCATCTGTCAATGGACATTTAGGTTGCTTCCATGTCTTGGCTATTGTAAATAGTGTTGCAGTGAACATTGGGGTGCATGTATTGTTTTGAATTATGGTCTTCTCTGGATATATGCCCAGGAGTGGGATTGCTGGATCGTCTTTGACTTCTCTCTTTCTCACACCCCTAATCCAATACATTAGCAAACCCTGCTTATTCTACCTTCAAGACACATCTAGAATCCAGCCACTTCTTACAACCTGCACTGCTACCACCCTAGTCCATCCACCATCATCTCTGCTGTGTTATTACAAACAGCCCAACTGGTCTCCTTGCTTCTGCCCTTTGCCGCCTCTAGTCTATTCTCCCACAGTGGCTGGAATGATCCTTTCAAAAGACAATGCCATGTTGATAGTATATACGCTTGATAGTATATACAAGGGTATTGATAGTATATGCAAGGG